TAGCCATGATATTTTTCAACTGTATCGGCCGGTGATCACTTTCGCTATGAAGCTGCTTGCTTACATGCGATAACCCCATAAGAAAATACGTATACCCTCTGGTTATTTAACATAGCCATGGAAAATGGCCCATAGAAATAGATTATTTTCCCAGCTAGAAACCTCCATTTATAAGGGATTTTCCATGGCTATGTTAGTCATAACCAGATGGTAATGTAGATGGTCATTCCATCCCGGATTAAAGTCAATTATATACCCTATTGTTATCCCATGGAATGATAAATATGATCACTAAGCTATATGTCGAAAATATCCAACTTGGCTAACATCCACCAATAACCAATACTTGTTGGTACGGTTATCCCATCCTCCAGCTCCATCGCCGTATCCTTTGTTATATCATCATATCAACATGACATATATTCATGATTAAGAACAAGTTCAAATCATCTCTCAAACTCTGTCTGTCCAAAAAGTCCACCAGAAAATCCGCCACACATCCATCCAGATTCGTTTCTGTTCCCCCCCATCCCACGCTCCCCACGGCCGCGCCTTGCGGCACCAGCTCCGCATTCTCCAGGCGCCACAGGGTCCCAGGTTCCGCGGGGCGCCGCTGCCATCCGCCCCCGCCGAGGCCGTTCAGGTTCACCTCCACCGAGCTCAGCTCGGGATCCTCCGTAAAAGACGGGACAAAATGAAGGTTTTTACCATGGAAACATGGGAAAACCATGGGAAAACCATGGGAAAGCCATGAGAAAACCATGGGAAAACCATCGGAAAACCATGGGAAAACCATGGGAAAACCATGGGAAAACCATGGAAAACCATGGGAAAACCATGGGAAAACCATGGAAAAACCATGGAAAAACTGAGGGTTTGGGAAACCGTGGGAAAATGATTGGAGAATTTTCTATCAACCAATGTGATTTTTCAAGTGTTAGATGATTTTAGATGTTGTTTCAGATACCATGATTCAAGAATTGCATGCAGATCAGTCAGGTCAACAATTTTGGTGCTTTTAGTCAAGCGTTTATTAGGTTTTGATTAACAAGTGGACTTCCCCAAACCAAATTTGTGGTAGCCAACCCAAAAAAAACTTACTTATGGATACTTATGTTATCTTATGGTTACATACCCATTAAACCCCATTAAATGGCATTCATATCCATTCATAATTCATATAATCCAGAAACATGAACATCATTCCCCCACTAACAATACAAACAATGATAATCCCCTAAGAGTGGAATAATAATCCTCTAACAAGAATATAATTCAAGGGGATTAATAACAATACTAGTGGTAAAACAATGTGCCATAAACCATCCATTTGGGAATGGTAAACGTACCACCTATTTATGGTAAAATTGGGGGATGGTTTATGGCAGTGTTCTAACCACATTAAACAATAATATTATAGCCACTGTAAATCACTATAACCCATATACCTTAGCTGATTATATCTACCATTAATGGGATGGTTTATGAAATTGTTTTACCCACATTAAACAATACTGGTTGGTGGTTTCAACCCCTCTGACAAATATGAAAGTCCATGGGAAGAATTATCCCATATATGAAATGGAAAATAAAACATGTTCCAAAACACCAACCAGAATAGTAATCCCCATGAATTCCCCCTTCACCAACAAAAAAAAACCTTCGGTCTTCGGCACCGGCGGTCCTCACTTCGCCATTCGGCACCATCCCAGAGTTGCAAGGTCACGGAGGGGACGTACTCCATGGGCATCGAGCCCTGGTGGAACAGCAGGGTGGATTTCATCATGGAAAAACCCGGTGAAATGGTGGGATTTAACTCATTAAATATTAATTACCCTCTGGTAAACTAACATAGCTATTGAAAATGGCCATTTATGGTCAGTTTTCCCATCAAAAATGCTGATTTTCCATAGCTACGTTAAATTACCAGAGGGTAAGCATGAAAAATATAGGGACTTCAGCAAAATTCAGATGTTCACTGATTTGGAGCACTAAAAATACTAAAATGGGATCTGATCGAAAACTTGACCTGGGTAAAATTCATTGATGCAGCACCATCTCCAGGTGGCTTCGTGGCAGATATAACTCAACCGGCGTGCATCCAAATCATCCAAGATCTGCGCGGCAAATCCCATGGTTTTTCTCCCAAAACATCTATTTTCAAAGCCCCTCTCAACCCATAGATTCATGGATGATTACTGGATGATTAATGGATGATTCATGGATGATTAATGGACAAAATCAGGTTTAATGGAAAATTCATCTAGAATGAAATGGATGATTTGGGTACCTGAAAAGTTTGTCATCTTCCCCATGAATGATCCAACCGCCATCCAACGGCGCCATAGACCTGCATCAACTTCACACATCCTGGCTGACACGGCTGTTGGGATCATCATCCCCCACGTTTATGGGACGACCCGAATCATGGACGTTGAATAGGATCTAATGGTGGTTTAATGGCATTTTATGGTTTAATGAAATTTTATGGTTTAATGGCATTTTATGGTGGTTTAATAGGATCTAATGGGAATCCTAATGGCATCTGGTTCGTGGTTGACCTAAAACCCCTCTGAAAAATGATGGATTGATCGTCAGTTGGGGTGATGAAATTCCCAACTGAATGGAAAGTCATAGAATTCATGGTCCAAACCACCAACCAGACACTAATCATAGGATACAAACGGATATTAATGACACAAATACTAATTCTGATGAATGTTACTAATCATAGGATACTAGGATTGATTTCGATAATCCTAATAACAAACATGGGACTTCCAGAAGTTTAATAGAGACAATGCACTCCACCAGGGGTTCCAAGGGGGGCTTCATATTGGGGGAAAGAAATTGTAGAAATTATTTGGGGTAATTATGATAATAATATACAATCTAAATCACAAATTGTAGAAATCAATCCTTGGTTAAATTCTAGAAAAGGTAATTACCCTCTGGTAATTTAACATAGCTATTGAAAATAGCCATTTATAGTGGATTTATCCATTAAAAATTGTGATTTTCCATAGTTACGTTAGTTTACCAGAGGGTATATGCAACCCTATGACAATCCCAATGACACCCTTCTGGATGATGACCCGGCCCCACCATCTCCGGCCATCTCCGGCTGTCAGTCAAGGATCGCACCCAAACTGCCCCAGAAAGGTAGTCAACGCCCAGAAAACCCGGATGTGAGCGGTTGGGTTCGTGGCGAATCAGGATGCCCGTGCTGGTATCCAAATCGCTCAACCTCAGATCGGACAAGATTCGGTGTGGAACATTCGATTTCAGAAAGCCTGGAAACTCGTGGAAAGCCCCAAAAATATGATGCTTCAGCATCATATTTTCCCCAGAAATGGCATGAAATGGGGGTTAAATCATGTTTAATCCCTCATTTGCAGACTCATGTCGATGTTGATGAGGAAAACGGTGAGGAAAATGAACATTTTTCCCCATTGCTGGCTCACGGCTTCCTTGTAGAATGTCAATCATGTTAACCCCGGACGAGACTAAAACCTGACCATTAATTGGATGGGTTACCCTCCTCAAAATAGTGATCAAGTATTACTATATCGTTATTATTCTTACTATTCTTAATGTGGGTAAAACTGTTATATAAACCACCCATTTGGGAGTGGTAAACATACCACCTCTCTTTTGTTTTTGTGATGACTGGGAGATGGTTTATTGATGGTGCAGATGGCATTGTTTTACCCAATATTACTAGTATCATTATGTATCATTCAAATCGCTATCCCATTGCTTCAGCAAACTCCTGGGTCTTCACATTGGTGGCCACAGTTTAACTGGGACACAAACTGGATTCATCATGATTCATCCAATGTGGATGACCTGTTTGGAGCTGCATGAAATTTTTGGAGAGGACTTCATTTTAACCCATGCCCTTTTTTAGCATCATACAGCCATGTGTTGGAGAAGTTTTCATGCCGAGATCATTGATCTTAAAAGTCTTAGTCTTTGAGCTCATGAACCCCCGAACTTATCAAGCAACACATTGGCGTGTCTGCAACGTGATGTACCTCGTAAGAAAAAAAGAAACGGCAACAATCGATGGAACATGGACTGATGAATCACGGATTTCAGGGTGCCGTACTCTACATCAAACCCAAATAGACTACAAGGTGGGGCCCCCAAGATATAAGTTGGTTTATAAGCCCCAGTAACTATAGTTATAAGTACCATAAACCATAGTAATTGGAGTTACAAACCAAGTTAGCTATCTAGGGGGCCCCACCTTGTAACTATAGCTAGCTAGCTCAACATGACAAGCTACACAGGAAAAATGCCCCAGAAACATCGTTCATTCGGAAGTACATGTTTCAGCACTCGCGCGTGTGATGGTCACTGGGCTCAACATGCCACAGCGATACAGGGACCTCACCTGGATTTTTCGCAGATTGGATCTGATTAGGAAACAGATCACACCTGGATAAATCAATAAATTTCAAGCCTATATAACTCAGGTGATCTTTAATGGCTATTATTCCCATAGAACATGCTAATCATCATGTCACAATGTGTGGTGCTCGGTGGGCCGTTTCCCCTTGCAAGGCACGGGTATTGACACAACAACTACAAACAATAAGAGAAATTTACTGTTCAAGCCTATAGTACGGCAATAATCCCAAATGCTCCATGTATGGAATATTTACCAACATTTACTCTAAAACCTAAAAATCACTGAAATGTAAGTAAATATACCATACATGGATATACATGGAGCATATGGGAATACTGATACTAGCCCACCTGCTTGATTTTTCTATGAAGCGATTTACTAATCCACTCAACCTTTTCCATCCTGGCCACTTTGCGGAAAAACTCTGGAGACAAGAAAAAAAACCGCAAAACAAAGCGCCAGTGTTTAGAAATCCCATGGTTTGGGGTCCCTACTCTACACTTATGTTTTTTTTCCTGTTGTCAATTATAGCCCTATGAATGGAATGATAACGCCAAACAATAACCATACAAATCAGTGGTAATTAAAGTGCTTGAACTCTACAGAACATACCTTCCCTGGCGAAATCACCAATTCCCAGGAGCTGCTGCGCTTCCGACCACATCTTGCCGCGCTCGGCGCGGCGGAAGCCGGTGATCAGCGGAAAGTAGCTGGACGCCAGCACCGTCTCACCACCTCCCTCCAAGCCAGCCACTGGCAAGCGATTCCTGGCGCAAGCAAGCGCGCCAGGAAGATTTTTGGGGCCTTTTTTGTTGTGAGCTGGTCTATCAACCTTTTTTGCGATATGATAGATTGATCATTTGGTTGGTGGTTGACCTACCCTTCTGAAAAATATGACTTCGTCAGTTGGGATTATTATTCCCAATATATGGAAAAAAATGTTCCAAACCACCAACCAGTCATGATTAATCCATCATCAACCCTGGTTCCAAGTCTCGGCGACTGGTTAGATGTTCACTCCCTAAAAGGATACATTTAGGGTCCATTTTCCAAAGCCAGGTTGGAGTATACAAAAGGAGGTATCATGAAACAATGTTTTTGTCGTTTTATGGTTTCAAGGTTTCCTGTGGTTTACCATCCCCATCGATCCAGATGCTTCCTTCGGAAGACCCGCCAGTCATCATACCCCAGTCATACCTTCAAAGGGTAAGACCCATGCTGGTTGGTGGTTTCAATCCCTCTGAAAAATCATGGAGTTCGTCAAATTGGGATGATGAAATTCCCAATATATGGAACAAATCCATTAACATCCATTAACATCCATTAAACCACTATGATCCATTATTTCCAACTGAAAGGAAAATTAAAACATCTTCCAGTCACCAGCAACCAGCATGACCACCCGGTCATCTGAACCCAGTCGTGGCTCCCCATGGCTCCCCATGACTCAGTCGGGAGGTCCTGCACTTGGAATCTGCGTACATCTCCAGCTCCAAGACCCTCCAGTGCCGATTTTCCTCTGCTTTGGGCACCAAACGCCACCGCGTCCTGGAGATCGATCGAAGGATGTCACTGGGACCCAACAGACATCGGATGTCGAATGTGGAGCCACACGAAAAATCACCCAACTAGACCGAAGACTGCGATGTGTTTGGACATTCGAACATGACTTGAAAAACTTCAGACAACAGGAAAGGATTCCCTGGAAATGGAATTGCTGGAACACAAGAAACAGCGATCTTGAGCCTTTCCTGTAGGAAAAAACACCGAAAACACCAAAAACTTATCCTCCAGCGAGCCATGAAAATATGTGTTCCATAGCTGGTCTTAAAAGTTCCCAACATGGTGGATCGTCTTCCCAATCATCGCAGCTGTAAACCATTGTAAACCTCATGATTAGTGATATATCATCATAGTTTCAAAGGGAATTCATGATATTTGGGGACACTGCCATTACACTGCTATGGAAACACTGAAATCGGCATCTTTCTGCGGGTTGCCAACAAATGGCTTCATTCTGGCAGTGGTGCCCCCCCCAGTTATGTTGGTTAAATCCCATCAACATCCATCAACTAGTTCGATATTTTTGTGTCACAAATTAGTCATAAACATTTGAATTAAACCATATAGTTATTGGAGTTAACCAAGCTGGGGAACCACTGGAACCACCAACCTTGGCGCTTTTGACCATTTTTGACCCACGGAAACGCGACCGCCAAGGCGACAAGCTCCGCCGCCAAGCTGCATGAAGCTGGCTGCAGGTCTGGACCAAACGCCACCTCCGAGTTCGTGCAGTGAACCTGTTTTGGTCATGGGCGACAGGATGTAGATCTCACCTGGGCGAACCATTTCAACCGTTTCCACCGTTTATCGAAACACGTTTTAAAAAAATATGTTTAAAGGATGAGATAAGGTGAAGATTCAGATCGAAGTTTTTCGTCACATCCGATTCTACGAGATATTTTGCTCGAAATAGTGATGAATCATGATGAAGGAAATGGTTTTTCAAAATCTTTTAGGGGAGTACTATGACAGTATTAAAATGCAAGGCTAGCGGGAGGCCAGTCCGGGATGTCCCAGAAATCCCCAGAATTTTCTGGTAAATCCCAAGTGATATGGGAACTTTAAGTGGACATTGATTTTCAACGGGAAAATATGGTAAACAATTGTGAATTATAATCATGTTCCCAGTTTAAAATTGCGACTTTGGCTGTCTCCCCATTTTTAGACACACCCAAGTATATATAAAGTGTGTTTGTTCATGCTTGTGCATCAATCTCTCCAGAAACACAAGAGCAATCCAGCGGTTTGCCATGGAAAGTAGTGGCGATTTTCCATGGGCAAATCATGTACACTGTAGGGGTGATTTTCCATGGCGAACTGTTACCAGAGGGTAGTCTTCATCTAGGGTTGAAACCATCTGAATATATATATATATATAAATATAAATATATATATATATAAATAAATATATATATGATAATATATGCAGATTGAGCTAATTGCACTTGATCTATTCAGCCTTACTCATCTATCTTCTCAAACGGGGCACTTTTGGAGTCCCCATCCCATAGACAGTAAATTGCTATTCTCAAGAGGAAAGGCATCTTCCCAACCACTTGTTTGTGGCATTTCTGTGTTTGCAGCCGCAGTTCCAAACAGCCTCCAGTCACCTTGCTGCCAATGAAAAACCCTTGATGTTTTCCCTGTAATACCCTCTGGTAAATTAACATAGACCCTGGCAGATAGGGGTTGGAAGATTAGTTTCCATTAAAACTAGGCTATTTTCAGGGTCTATGTTAATTTACCAGAGGGTATCATGTCATAGCACATCCATCTCAGCTGATGTGCCCAAGAGCTGAGGGTCCATGGGCTTCCCAAACAGCGCTCACCTCTTGGCCAAGTAGCCGTTCCACAGCTGGATCTGAGTGCTGATCATCCTGTGGGGCCCGTTCCAAGAAGGTACAATGTAAGGCCCCCGTTAGATATGTTTGTTGGTTTAGATTCGCCCCAGTAGCTATAGTTATAAATACCATAAACCATAGTGACATTGGAGTTATGTCCACCAACTTAGCTATCGAGCTGGGGCCTCACATTGTAGAAATCTTGCATAACTGTATCTGGATCAGTTAGAGAGCAAATCACATATTTTCATATATTTTCCTGGTACCTGTTTCTGGTTCGCGCATTGGTTCTGGGTGGTTTCGGACATACCTTCAATTTGCTGTTTCACAAGCAGCTCTTCCTGTCATCCTATGCGTACAAGACTGTTGCTGGATGGCTCATTTGCCTTCAAATCAAACTTCGCTGCTGATCCTAAGTATATGGGGCCATATGGGGGCTGCTGCTGTCACATCTCTCAAAACTCTGCCAAGTGGATTTCAAGTCACAAACCAATGGTTTCGATATGTTTCGATGTGAATTCCGCCTAGGCTTTGTCCTTTCAAAGGGGCCCCGAGTCCAGTGGTCAATCATTCTCATCTCCTTCCTATTCATGACCCCCATTCTCCCCCATTCTCATTGGGGCTGTCCTCATTTTCAGACACAAACAAGTAGGAAGGGTATGGCATACGGTTGGGTTTGGAACTCCTGGCCGCCCTGGCCCTTCACTCCGAGCGTCTGTTGCTCCAGCCGTTCTGATTGCCAGATCCGGAAACATCGCACCATGAGTTCCTGCGCCGTGAGTCGGTGAATCGGTGAATCGCTGGGACTCGGTGAGCTTTTTGATTGATCTCCCCTTTTGGGCCCATGCCAAAATGTGGCACCCCAAAATGGAATGGTTTTACTGTACCGTAAAAAAAAAACATAAAGTCGGTGGTCCTTGAGGTCATTGAATTCAGAAGTGACCCCGAACAAACCAAAACAAGACACCATTCCAGTACATTCCAGCAGGCTTAGGTTAAAAAAATCTCCTGTGTGGCTGGGAAATTCCTGGCAAAATCGTGGGGAAAAACTTCCAGATGAATCCGCCGGTGGGTCAGATCGAGCTATGATCCGACAAATCTTGAGAAAACGATCCATGGATTCTTCAAAACGGTAGAAGTTGAAAAATCCAGGAGCAAACAATCACTGGTCCACTTAGAGATGTGTTGTTACATGGTTTTTTTTTTCGACTGTCCTAAGTTCTTCTTGATCAGTGAAATGCCCCACTCTTGCTGCTTACATCATCCATGCCTTTGTTGGTTAATTGCCTATACTAATTCTAATTCAATCAAAACCTATCTTCGTTGCTTAAACCATAAATCTCATGTGAGCGTGTTCATTGATAAAGCGGCCATAAAAACCAGTTTTGCTGGTGAAACAGCCATGAAACTCAGAAATTTTCGTGGCCTTGAAAGGCCCCGAAATGCTCCTCCTCTTCCGCTTCCGGGGCGTTATTGGGAAGTTCCACGCCCAGCCAATACCTGGCAGCAAGAGCGCGGAAGCCAAGGATCTGACACCGTGCTGGGATGCAATTTCCACACAAAACTTTCACCATGAAAGTGCCATTCTTCCGTAGGAAACGAATCGTGGGTCCCATGTTGGTCTTCAGAAGATTCGGGGATATAATAACGTGTAATAGTAAACACTGAGACTAGTTGTGGGTTTCCAAGACCTTGGGGCCCTTGGGGTCAAAATGTTATCACCCATTCTTCTAGAATGAATCTGGCAAACCGATGGCTGGGGTGTCTCCGTTTGGGTGCACTTATGCCATGATCCAGGTGGGTTATAAGGTATGGTATAGTAAATCCTAAACCTGATGTAAGGTTTTTGTTGATGACTTAATGTGAAGGATCATCTGTAAAGACTTGCCATTTGAGTTCGCTATGAATTATCCAGATACTTTCTTTTGGAGAACAAATATCCATGTGCGGAAGGAGAGTCTGTTGAAAATGCAGTCGCGGTGCAGTGTGTTCCAGTTGTTTTGTTGCTAACAGCTTGCCCGCGTTGTAAATAATTCACTTCATGTTGGTCAAATTTGAGTCCCTTATATCAACACCATTCAATCCCAAAATAAACTTGTTGGAAATTTTGGAGGATACCTGGAGAAAACATGAGAAAACAGCCGGCTCAGCCATCAATTTGTGCTGCACCCAAAAACGGACTCGGCCGAAGGTAAAAATCTCCGAGCAAACAATCATCATTCGCCAAACTTATCAAGATCTAAGATCTGTATATGGTAAACCCAATAACACATTGATAATGCATTTTCCCCATTATGACAAAATCAAGCGTTAGTCCCAAATGCGGCAACCCAAAGATTTATCTAGTGTATATGCACGTGTATACATACATACGTAACATTACGTAACGTTACATTACATTACATTACATTACTTTACTTACATATTACATTACATGACATCACATTACAGTACATTACATCACAGTACATTACATTACATAACAGAACATATATATATATGTGTGTTTGTAGCCATCCTGGATAAACAAAAAAAACATGTTTAAAGTCCTCACTAAAATGGGAACTCCGTATTCTATCTATATTTCAGAGTGAAATCTATTTAATGTTTACTGTACGTCTAGATCTATGTAATGTATAGCAATTACTGTGATTATTTGCTGATTCAAATCCATACTTTACATGATTGCTAACCACTATTAACCAGTTGTGATATCATCAACCCATAGTTCGTTGATCCTGTAGTTAGTTGATGGCAACTACCATATCATCCCCTGATATTCTCATTCATCTTCCATGCTATAGTTGTCTTTTCCATTTTTTCCCATATATCTATCTGGTTGGTGGTATACCTACCCCTCTGAAAAAATAGTAGTCAGTTGGGATGATGACATTCCAAATATATGGAAAAAAACAAAAGCCATGTTCCAAACCACCAACCAGTTATCCATATTTCCCCAACAGTTTCCATGAAAACGGCCATGTTTCATGGGAATCCCAATCCCCTCAGGCTTCGTTGATCCCGTGGCCCAAGGCGCTTCCGCGTCTCGTTGCACGCCGTTGCGCAGTTCGCCGTCCACAGGCTGGATGCGTCGCCGTCCATGGCGCGGCTGGGGGCGTCGCCGGAGTTGTAGCCGCTCGCCAGGGGGGACCCGGGAGTCATCTCCACCTGGGCGAAGTCCTGGGGGCTCCTACAGTTTATCTGGGATTAGATTATCTGGGATATTCATCAGCAAGAACAGTGATGCAACAATGATTATTATCTGAATATCTGATGAGTATTATCTGGGATATTCATCAGCAGTGATTATGGATTCTTTTTCAGCATCTGATTCTAGCAGTTCACTAATGGATAGTATAATGATACCCTCTGGTAATGACTGTTACATAGCTATTGGAGCCATGGCCCAGTCGAAATAGTGGATTTACCCATTGAAAATGGAGATTTTCGTTATGTTAGTTTACCAGAGGGTATGCCCCAACTAACAGTTGTAACTGGGATTATTTCATGATATATAACCTTAGTTATAGGAGTTAGTTAATGACAGTTATAGCTGTTAAGGGCCATTACTGCAAGTCATGGGGCTACCCCCAATTATCCAGTGAAAAAGTTGGATTTTCCATGAAATAAACCATCCAGCTATGTACCCCCATTCATGGAAACCCCCATTTCTCTGAGAAAAAGTTAAGAAGATGGGCAAAACAAAGGGGTTTAAATCCGTTTAACCATTAAAAATTACACCGGCATAGACCCCAGATAGAAAAGGTTGGAACTCACGGTTGCCAACGTGGGAACCACAGGTTACCATTGCAAGGAACTGCCGGTTACCAGAGGTTGGAACTCATGGTTCCCAACCTGGGAACCAGAGGTTACCATTGCAAGCAACTGCCGGTTCCCAGAAGTTGGAACTCATGCTTCCCAACCTGCGAACCATAGGTTACCATTGCAAAGAACTTCCAATTCCTAAAGGTTGGAACTGATGGTTCCCAACGTGGGAACCAAAGGTTACCATGGCAAGGAACTGCCGGTTCCCAGACCTTGTGACCTTGAAACTTACGGTTCCCAACCTGGGAACCAGAGGTTACCATTGCAAGGAATTGCCGGTTCCCAGAAGTTAGAATTTATGTTTTCGAAGCTAAGCAACTATCATTGTAAGGAACTGCGGGGCCCCAAAGCTTGAAACTCATGGTTCCAAACCTGAAAAAGCATACGTTACCAGTGGAAGGATCTGTTGATTCCAAAAAGTTAAAACTCATGGTTCTCAATGTTGTTTTGTTTTGTTTACTGAGCCGGTAACAGAACCTTTTGTTTTGCTTAATGGACCGGTATCTGAATGTTTGCGTTCGGCTGCTGGGCGGGCATAAAAATGTTTTTGCACGAAAAAGGGGCATATTAAAATAATATGAAAACAGTTTCTTTACAACTTTATGGTTTTGCTTAATGGACCGGTAAAGAACGCTTTGTTTTGCTTAATGGACCGGTACCGGATTTTTTGCGTTTGGCTCATGGCAAGGAACTCCCGGTTCCCAAAGGTTGGAACTCACGGTTGCCAACGTGGGAACCACAGGTTACCATTGCAAGGAACTGCCGGTTCCCAGAGGTTGGAACTCATGGTTCCCAACCTGGGAACCAGAGGTTACCATTGCAAGCAACTGCCGGTTCCCAGAAGTTGGAACTCATGCTTCCCAACCTGCGAACCATAGGTTACCATTGCAAAGAACTTCCAATTCCTAAAGGTTGGAACTGATGGTTCCCAACGTGGGAACCAAAGGTTACCATGGCAAGGAACTGCCGGTTCCCAGACCTTGTGACCTTGAAACTTACGGTTCCCAACCTGGGAACCAGAGGTTACCATTGCAAGGAATTGCCGGTTCCCAGAAGTTAGAATTTACGTTTTCGAAGCTAAGCCGCTGTCATTGTAAGGAACTGCGGGGTCCCAAAGCTTGAAACTCATGGTTCCAAGCCTGAAAAAGTAACATTACCAGTGGAAGGATCTGTTGATTGCAAAAAGTTAGAACTCATGGTTCTTAATGTTGTTTTGATTTGTTTACTGAGCCGGCAACAGAACCTTTTGTTTTGCTTAATGGACCGGTATCTGAATGTTTGCGTTCGGCTGCTGGGCCGGCATAAAAATGTTTTTGCACGAAAAAGGGGCATGTTAAAATAATATGAAAACAGTTTCTTTACAACTTTATGGTTTTGCTAAATGGACCGGTAAAGAACGCTTTGTTTTGCTTAATGGACCGGTACCGGAATGTTTGCGTTTGGTTCATGGCAAGGAACTGCCGGGTCCCAAAGGTTGGAACTCACGCTTGCCAACGTGGGAACCACAGGTTACCATTGCAAGGAACTGCCGGTTCCCACAGGTTGGAACTCCTGGTTCCCAACCTGGGAACCATGGGTTACCATTGCAAGCAACTGCCGGTTACCAGAGGTTGGAACTCATGCTTCCCAACCTGGGAACCATAGGTTGCCATTGCAAAGAACTTCCGGTTCCTAAAGGTTGGAACTGATGGTTCCCAACGTGGGAACCAAAGGTTACCATGGCAAGGAACTGCCGGTTCCCAGACCTTGAAACTTACGGTTCCCAACCTGGGAACCAGAGGTTACCATTGCAAGGAATTGCCGGTTCCCAGAAGTTAGAATTTATGTTTTCGAAGCTAAGCAACTATCATTGTAAGGAACTGCGGGGCCCCAAAGCTTGAAACTCATGGTTCCAAACCTGAAAAAGCATACGTTACCAGTGGAAGGATCTGTTGATTCCAAAAAGTTAAAACTCATGGTTCTCAATGTTGTTTTGTTTTGTTTACTGAGCCGGTAACAGAACCTTTTGTTTTGCTTAATGGACCGGTATCTGAATGTTTGCGTTCGGCTGCTGGGCCGGCATAAAAAATGTTTTTGCACGAAAAAGGGGCATGTTAAAATAATATGAAAACAGTTTCTTTACAACTTTTTGGTTTTGCTTAATGGACCGGTAATGAACGCTTTGTTTTGCTTAATGGACCGGTACTGGGATGTTTGCGTTTGGTTCATGGCAAGGAACTGCCGGTTCCCAAAGGTTGGAACTCACTGTTGCCAACGTGGGAACCACAGGTTACCATTGCAAGGAACTGCCGGTTCCCAGAGGTTGGAACTCCTGGTTCCCAACCTGGGAACCATAGGTTACCATTGCAAAAAACTTCCGGTTCCTAAAGGCTGGAACTGATCGTTCCCAACGTGGGAACCAAAGCACAGCACCCTGCACAGCACCCTGCACAGCACCCTGCACAGCAACCTGCACAGCACCCTGCACAGCACCTTTCACAGCACCCTTCACAGCACCCTGCACAGCACCTTTGCGAGAGTCTTCGCCACCGCAGTCTGGACTGGACAGCACCCTGCACAGCACCCTGCACAGCACCCTGCACAGCACCCTGCACAGCACCTTGCCAGACTTCGCCACCGCAGTCTGGACAGCACCCTGCACAGCACCCTGCACAGCACCCTGCCAGACTTCGCCACCGCAGTCTGGACAGCACCCTGCACAGCACCCTGCACAGCACCCTGCACAGCACCCTGCACAGCACCTTTGCCAGACTTCGCCACCGCACTCTGGACAGCACCTTTGCCAGACTTCGCCACCGCACTCTGGACAACAGCCTGCAGAGCACCCTGCACAGCACCTTTGCCAGACTTCGCCACCGCAGTCTGGACAACACCCTGCACAGCACCCTACACAGCACCTTTGCCAGACTTCGCCACCGCAGTCTGGACAGCGCCCTGCACAGCACCCTGCACAGCACCTTTGCCAGACTTCGCCACCGCAGTCTGGACAGCACCCTGCACAGCACCCTGCACAGCACCTTTGCCAGACTTCGCCGCCGCAGTCTGGACAGTACCCTGCACAGCACCCTGCACAGCACCCTGCACAGCACCCTGCACAGCACCCTGCACAGCACCCTGCACAGCACCCTGCACAGCACCCTGCACAGCACCCTGTACAGCACCTTTGTCAGACTTCGCCACCGCAGTCTGGACAGTACCCTGCACAGCACCTGCACAGCACCCTGCACACCACCTTTGCCAGACTTCGCCACCGCACTCTGGACAACACCCTGCACAGCACCCTGCACAGCAACTTTGCCAGACTTCGCCACCGCAGTCTGGACAGCACCCTGCACAGCACCCTGCGCAGCACCCTGCACAGCACCCTGCTCAAAAGTTCGCCACCGAAGACCCCACCTTTGAGAAGTAAGAACCCCTATAGCTTGCCAGCTATCTGGGGAATCATTAAAAATCATGAAAAATGAAGATGTCATCATTGAGTCATCATGACACATGGGGAATTCACATGATTTATCTTTCCTCGTCCCCTCCAGCTGGTCGCTGGATCCGACATGATCCGACATGATCCGGATGACTCCGGGCGCAGTGAGCCAGACCTGGAAGCCTATCGCCTGGCCACGCCTGGACCCAAAGATATATCATTGGATGGGTTTTGTTGGGAAAATCTGAACCGGAAACCATATGGTTTTTACCATCAGATTGGTTGGGCTTTCCTGTAAATTTTCGCATCATCCCATTCTATGAATATAGAATCTATATGGCTATGATAGTTACTATAAACCATAGTTAGTTATAATAGTACAGTATATATATAATAGTTATATCATCCCACTTAGAACTGGGATATAACTATGGAATACTATTGATACCATCTGGTTATTTAACATAGGCATGGAAAATCCCTGAACTAAATCGAGGTTTCTAGCTGGGAAAATCATCTATTTCTATGGGCCATGGCTTCCATGGCTATGTTAAGTAACAAGAGGGTACCAGATAGAATGCCAAAAAGTATGTCAGAATAGATGTGCCATACATACTTCCAGATAGTATGTCAGAAACTATGTCAGAATAGTGTGTCAGGGGATCACTCGAAGTAAGCCATTGATAGGTATAATGGATATTTTTTCGCTTTGTTTTCTTTCAAGAAAATGGTATTCATCAGCCATTTCATGAGGATTTCACCGCATCAGGGCCAGTGGGATAGTTAGGTTGTGATCCATCCCATGGGAATCTGAGCCAAGAGCTATCCCCATTAATATGTGAGGCCCCCAGTAACTAGTTCGTTATTTGCATACCATGAACCGAAACGTGACATTGGAGTTATGTTCACCAACTTAGCTATCGAACGGGGGTTTCACATTGCATGAATATGAGGTTCTCCTTTTTTAAGCTCCTTTGCAATCTTCATCCTGCTTCAGTGTCCAGGTGTACAAGGCTTCAACCGAAGCCAGTTCCCCAGATAAATCGGAACAAAGAAAGGCAAGAAATGCCGTGCATTCTCGTCCAATAGCCGTTGCCAACAGCCGCCAATAGCGCAACATTGATCAACTGAGTCTGGTGGAGGTGTTGACAACTCGATCAAATGCTCGTAAACGAGCTCAGACTCATAGATATGACATCACTTGTGCACGCCAAGCTGAAGCTGCTTAGATTACCAATGTCTCCCATTAAAGGAGAAAATGCATTAATATGAAGATTCTCCTTGGTTTCGTTCTAATCGCCTCCCAATAATGCCAATGGTTTACCCTCTGGTAAGCCAATGGTTTACCCTCTGGTAAACGTTTACATCACTACAAAAATCACCAGGCAACGAACTGTGCCATCTCTACCATCACAAATCCAGTCCAGAAACAGTCATTCCCAACGTCACAACTCACAACGTCATCGGTGAACTCCGAAACAGAGCAACCGACGACCACCCTGCACACAGTGTTTCATTATCATTGTTATATACTATTATTAGTATTACTATTCTGATTATTATTGATAATTAAAAACATATCAACCATCTCAACCATCACTTCACTCCAAGGCTCCAAGCACAAGGGGTCCCGGTAGGCCTTCAGCTCGGCGACCCGCCACTGCGCCTCCAGCGCCTCGTTGTTGCGCAAGCGCCAAATGGTCCACGGCAAGGCCGGGCGCCGGTTCCAGGTGCCACCACCTGGGTTGGATTCATGGGAAATTCATGGGAAATTCATGGGAATTCATGGGAAATTCATGGGAAAAATGGATGAATTTAGAGTGACTTTATGGTGATTTCATGGAAAATTCCGTGGAAAATTGGACATATGGAGATTTCATGGAGGATTTATGGATTTATGGTGATGTTCAAAACATTTATAGCGATATTAGAGTGATTTCATGGGTGATTTTTCAGATCTATAGCAATTGAACGATCTCTATATAGCTAATACAGTGATTCAATGGGTGATTTATAGTGACTAGCTTTGTTGATACCTCTTTTTTGTTGGGGATAACTTGATGATTCCTCCTATACGCCAGGTAAGTCCGAGTTTAGGTCAGTTAAACACCATGATTTTTTCATAAACATGTACCCTCCGGTGTCATCAAACATGGCAACTGGAAAATCCACCTTAATTTAGTTCGGTGATGTTCGGTTATTTTTTCACCCCCATTTCTAGTGGATTTAAAAAAAAATTGCCACGTTTGATGACACCGGAGGGTATAAACTATAAACCTTAGTAGATACTGGGATACTGGGATACGACATAGATGGATACTGGGATACTATAAACTATAAACCTTAGTTTTTCTTAGAAAATTTTGGGATGCTACCCCCAAGAGTCTTAGAAAAAACTGGGTTTTTTTTCGTCGAAAATTTCCTGCCTCCAACTCTTCGGGGGCAGCTCCCCTAACTTGGTAGACAGAACTTCAATTTCACCAGGGTTTATCATATAACATATAGTTTATATATAGTTTATATATAGTTTTTACATAATTTATATATAATATATATAATATACATAATATATAATATAATTATATATATAGTTTATATATAGTTTATATATAGTTTATATATAGTTTATATATAGTTTTTTATATAGTTTAAATATAATTTATATAATATATATAATATATATATATATTATATAATATATAATATACGTTATAATATATATATGATATATAATATAATATAATATAATATAATAATATAATATAATATAATATAATCCAATACAATACAATATAATATAATCCAATACAATATAATATAATATAATATAATCCAATACAATACAATATAATATAATCCAATACAATATAATATAGTATAATATAATATAATATAGATCAATCTAGTTATGGGGGTTAAAGTCAACAACATAACTGGGCACCATCTGACACTGTTGGGGGACTCGATTCTATGCAAGTTACATGGGGGAAGTGACAACTGATGGCTCGTGTTATCTTCTCCATTGTGATATTGACATCTACTCTCTGGTATTGAACCTGGCTCGCTGGTAAATTGTATTCATATTCGTTTCTTGAATATGGTTCTTACAAGCGAACATATTTTTGTCAGTCATGTTTGATTACCATAGCGTGTGTTTACGAACCGGTTGCGTACGGGATGTTCTAAGTATAGATATATATATATATAGGATCCAATATGATGTTGCCAGCTGTATATTAGGTATCAAACAGGTGCTAGTCGAGATGCTCATCTGAGTAACCATTGCTACAGATGCAATATTCAAATTTCTCGCGGTTACAACACCATTAGCTATGGAATTTCACAAGCGTTTTGATAGGTAAATCATCTATAATTGTACAGTTTTCCATAGCTATGTAAAACTACCAGAGGGTAACATGTTCCACCCATGTTACAAGTCTGCACGTCTACCCCCCCTCGATCTTTCAACGAGCAGCCGATCTCACGGTGAAAGCTGTCAAACTGCCAATTTCCATCAATGTAAACACCAAGAGAGACCTCAGCAAAATGGCTCTGCAGATATGAAAAACGGATAAAAACGGCTCGGATCCACTGATCAAAATGGCTCTGATCCACTGATATCCACAGATATCCACAGATTCGATTTCTGGGGGTCTAGTGATCTCCAAAAACTCACCAGCAACACATGATCCAATCATCAAAAACCCAGGGGATCCACCAGAATTCGCTCAAGGTGCAAAGGCGGACTGCTCCTCCAAATATTTGGACCTGGTCTGCGTCTGGCACTAATGGCAAAGACAATAGCAAATATATTAACCTACCATAACCTGTATATATATATATAATTATGTGTGTATATATATACATATATATATATATACATATATATATATATTGTCTGTGTGTGTGTGTACATGTGGAAAAACTGTAATAATCCTATAAAAACATATTAAAACTTATGATGTTCCTATCATTCCTGTTGAAAAATTCTGATGTTTCTATTCAAACTGCTGGTTTTCCATGGCCATGTTCGAGCTCGACCGTCACTTCCAAGGAGCTGAAGAATTCGAAAGCACTTCACCACGGGCTGTTGGCCGCCTTGGTGTGCCAGACATCATGATTTTTTGCTGCGGATTTGATGATGTTTAATGGGCTTTAATGGTGATTGTTTGATGGATTTAATGGTGATGAATGGCGACTAACAGGGGGTTGATGAAATGTGTAAGTTGGTTTATAACTTCCATTAAGTATGGTTAGTTCGTTAGATCCCCCACAAGCCCAAACGTTAACCAAGTTTTGAGTCAACTTGGCTATCTAGTGGGCCTCACCTTAAAGCTTCAGCAGCAAAAACCCCCCGGGGTTGGATCTTGGATCTTGGCTGTGAATGATTGCGACAGTGGATTGTGAAGTCTGGTGAACACCTTGGAGTCTTGATGAGTCTGATGACACAGATAAGGGAATCTTCATGAATCTTCACTATCTTAGGGATTTATATATTTGTTCGATCTTTTTGGGTATGGTCCTTTTCAACTGTCGCATGTTGGCTAGTTGTTCAGTGGCTGGAGACATGTGAGTTGATCTTTTTGATCGTGCTCCAGCATTCAGGGTTGAACAAAAAAATAGGGGAAGGGCCCTGTGGGGCCCCATAAACACATTCATGTGAAACACATTGGAAACCAAGAAAACCAAGAAACCCATTAGAATGGTTGGTTTCCAACTCCAGCTCGATATGGCAGTGTGTCAAAACCTTGTACCCCTGGTGAACATCAAAATAGCTGGTAAATGGATGTTCATCCCCCTAAAAATGGTATGTATAGGTATTGATCCATAGCCATGTGAATCGAGCATGAATCCAAGTTCTTCTCCGATTTTTTGGACCCCGCAGCCACCAGAAAAAAGCGCGGCTAAGCGAATCCAAGAGGGACGGACGTAGATCCCCAACCATGCTTCTGCGGGTACACAGGTAATCCCTTCCGTCCTGGTGTGGGATGATCCATGGGAAACTTATCCGTAACCGTTAGGTGATGAAATCATGTATGAATGTTAACATTTATTTGTAGTATTAATGATGGTTATAAATATATAAATGTATGTCTATATTAACTTGAAATATAGTGGAACATCATGTATGGTTATGAATGGTTATGAATTCATGTATGAATGTTACCATCTGGTTATGACTAACATAGCCATGGAAAATCACCATTTTCAATAGGTAAACCATCTATTTCTATGGGCCATGGCTTCCATGGCTATGTAACAAATAACCAGAGGGTAGCATTTATTTGTAGTATTAATATTGGTTATCAATAAATGTATCTATATACTTGTTGTATTAACTTGCAATGGTTATTAATACAACCATTTACTAGCATTTACTAAGTGGGATGATCCAGTATGTAACATTCATTAACCATTTACTAAGTGAGCAGTGTTCAAAATCCCTCTATCATTCCATTATACTGGTTGGTTTATAGGGATTCCCCTCTTGGATTATTGTAGTCCCCAATATATGAAGGGTAGAAAAAAATCCTCGAACTAATCATCAGCCAACAGGGGTAGATCGCAGCCACTGCTCAAGTGGGATGTGCTGAAAAATTCAGCTCCTGCTGCTGCAGCTGGATGTCCAACCCACATCCTGTCGAGTGTCCTCGGATCTGGCATTCAAAAGCCACCATTTTTGGAGTGAACCTCCTCCAAGTGTATACAGTATGTATGTGTATATATATATAGTATATATGTATTCTATGCATAGAATTATCTGTATAGAATTATATGTATAGAATTATATGTATAGAATTATATGTATAGAATATTATAGAATTATATTTATATGGAGGTTTCCTGAGTCATAGGGGTACCCCATTTATAATCCCATCTATAGATGGATTCTCCATTGAACCATCCAGCTATTGGGGTACTGTACCCTCATTTATGGAAACCCCTATATAGTGGTTTCCAGCTCCAAAATGCCTGGTTTATAATGGACAATCCGAGAATAAAATGGATGATTGGCGATACCCCCATTTATGGAAACCCTTATATATATATACCATAAACAGGTCGTGTCAGTCCTGTTTCTGTCCCCATCCTGTGAGACATGTGTGCTCCAAGCATCCCCATCAAAGGCGTAGCGAATCTCGAGGTTTTGGGGCCCTTGCATGGCTAAAGGCTCTCCTGCAAGCGCTGGGGAACATCTGGTAATTCCAATTCTACAGTGGATGGAAGAAATCCTGCACCACCTTGGATGGTTGAAACCCTAAAAATAATGGGATAAACCACCTATCAACGGGTGCAGGATTTCTTCCATCCACAGTAGGATCCAGATGGCTTCAGATCGGAGAGTTTATACCCCCGAGCCATCCATTTTTCATGCTCTAGTTGCCGAGAAAAAAGGATGTTCTGGGTGGAACATTGATGCTAGATGCTAGATCCAAAAAAACCCTAAGGTAGACAAACATAAATGTGGAAAACCCACCATTTGTAGATTCTTTTTCTAGGGAAACCATAGGTTTTCCACATCTATGTGGAAATTGCTGCTTGATATCATGTTCTTCTCAAAGATGAGAATGGTCCAACCAGTATCAACCAGTCATGTCACTGGAGGTACATGATTTAGCCTATGGCCCGAAAACCAGCCCAGCGTTATTCCGTTTTTTGCGTTGTGATATGTTGGGTGGGTGGGGGGGTGGGTGGGGGGGCTATGACGTTCTTGGTTTTCGTTTCTTCGACTTACGTTGGATACGTCTTCTATACTTTGGTGGATGCGCTTCATCTTACGTTGGACACGTCTTCTGTCCGCAAGTTGGCCTGAAGAGAAAAGAAGTGCTGGCGCTGTGGCGAAACGCATACTCCAACATACATTTTTAGTTCCCACTGCAATAAAACAAAGATTTTCGGTAGATCCCAGTAGAATTGCAGTATCAAAGGACACCAAGATGATTGTAGACCTGTGGCAAACGCCAGGTTTTGAGCAGAAAGAGATAAAGACTGATCTTAAAAAATGATGAAAAGGCTGGGCCGATTTCCGGGCCGTGCAGATGATAGAAAGTACCCGTCGATCCCGTAGCTGTTGGGGAGAAAAACACTCCACCAGAATTCCGGCTCGCCTGTGGTTATCATTAGACGAGCCATTTTGAAAATAACAACTCCCCAAAACTAAAATATGATAGAACCAGGATTCATAATATGTATGTAATTATATATATACATATATATATATACATATATATATACATATATATATATATACACATATATATATATATACATACATATTTATACATATACATATATATATATATGTGTATGTGTGTATACAAGCGACCCCCGACAAAAATGGGCAGCCCAGCCCTTCGCCCGGAAGGGCCTTTCAGCTTGTCCCCCAGGCAATGGGTGGCGGTGTGGAACTCAAGCTCGTGCACCACCCATTGACCCCTGGCGATGCCGGCAATGTTGTGTGATTCATGGCGATTACAAGATGAGGAAACCATAGGAAACCGTAGGAAAATGGTGATTTCACCGAGGAAAAAATGCCATTTGATGGGATTTGGAGCTGAGCTAAGTCGGCGCACGTAACTTGGTTAACGTTTGGGTTTAGGGGAATATAACGAACTAGTGGGTGTATAAACCAACTTATAACTGGGAGGCCTCCCCTTGTATTATGGTTCATACAATAGCTGTGTCAACATTAACTGGCTGGTTTGAAAGTGGGGATTCCCGGTCAATCAGAAAGGTAATCCCCAAACCAGCAGCAAGATGGAGAGTATTTGAGGTCCCAATTGTGTTTTAATCACAGCATTTCAGGGTCCATGTTGAACCCCAAGCCTCAAATGTTAATCGTGACTTTCCCTTCAATGTGTGCTATTCACAAGAGATTGATATGCTTGGTCATGTTTGGTCTTAACGATTTAAGGTCATCTATGTTTCTATTAGAATTTGATCTATCAGCAATGGGGTAAAGTGCCATTGTTACCATCCTCAAGTCACCATTCGCCAGTGATGCTTCCATTCCAAACTGCCATGGTGGCAGTAAGTTTCCCTTCGCCATCCAAACTTTGGAGCCTTTGTTATTCTCCCAGAAAAAACTGGTTGGTGGTGCAATGTGCCCATTTTGAAAAATATGAGTTCGTCAATGGGAAGGATTATCCCATATATTATGGAAAATGATGGGGAAATGACGGGGAAAAAAGTGATTATCTGGTTGGTGGTTGACCTACCCCTCTGAAAAATATGACTTCGTCAGTTGGGATGATGAAATTCCCAATAGATGGAAAAAATAACACATGTTCTAAGCCACCAACCAGTTTTCCATTGTTACCATCTCCTGCACTAAGGCCATCTACTCAGTTGCACCTATCATAGTTAAAGAGGTTTGTATTCATCTATCCCCGTGTCATGCTGGATTGCAACTAGACCCCGGAATCTAAATAACCCCCAATCATTAAACTGATAGAGAGATTTATCATCTTTGGTATTCATCAACGACAAGGTCTTCGTGAAACTCTCCGCGTCCACCGGGCCTGGTGTACACGTCGTTGCTCAATCGCCACGCTGACCTGCGGCCAAGGTGGACTTCGGTCGCTGGGAAAATCATGCCATAATGATGTTACACCCAAATGATTGCATGTTTATCATGGTCAGGAAACATCTCTTAAAATGGTGTTTACAGCCCTGGGTAATCATGCATGGCTGCTGGGATATCCTGTGTAAATGGGAATCTTAATGGGAAAAAATCAAACTACCCTGTGGTAAACTAACATAACTACAATGTGAGGCCCCCAAGATATGTTTGTTGGTTTAGCTTCGCCCCAGTAACTAGTTCGTTATAAATACCACAAACCATAGTAATTGGAGTTACAAACCAACTTCGCTTTCTTGGGGGCCTCACATTGTATGAACGGAGGTTTAGTTGGAAAAATCATCGAACTTCGAACTATTGCTGGTGGAAACTCCAGCAAGCCAAATAGGTAGCTAAGTTGGCCTATCACTTGCTTAAGGGGTTCGGTTTCTGGGGAATAAAAAAACTATAGTTAATAGGGTTTACAAACCAACAAATATAACTGGGAGACATCCTGTGAACCCGGAGTTTGGTTAAATATATGGGATCAAACAAAAATAAAATCAAATAAATGGGATATAGTGGCGATGCAATGGACATATCTACTGCATATGGATGTATGTACGTACGTACGTACGTACGTACGTACGTCTGTCTGTCTGTCTGTCAGTCTGTCTGTCTGTATGTATGTATGGTAATGTAATGTAATGTAATGTAGTGTAGTGTAATGTAATGTAATGTTATGTAATGTTATGTTATGTTATGTATGTATGTATCTATGTATATATATATATATGTATATATGTATATATGTGTATATGTATATATGTATATATGTATATATAGATACATGTCACTTATGTATATCCTCTGGCAATTTAACAGTTTGCTATGGTTTCCGATGGCCCAGCTATGTATCCATTTGCTTCGATGGGGGCCTTTAGGCGTCTGATGCCCATGGTGAATGTCCATAGCTATGTTGAATGTTCAAGCAGAGATGTACAGTAACTAGGGTTTATGGTAGTTATAACCATAGTTAGATGGGGTTATAAACCAATTAAAAATCTGGTAGATCTGGAGCTTGAAGAAGTCATGCATTGTTCTTCAAGAATTGGAACCTGCAGACTATTCTTTTGAACCCCAAAAAAATGGTAAGCTGTAATTTTGAATTAACTCGGATAACCTTTAGATTGGTAATTGGCAATGGTTGGAAAATAATTGAAACAATTTGACAAATTCAACATCTTATATCATGAGGTAGATCAACAGCCAATGCTGTGTTTGCTGATATCTCTGCAAATGCGAGCCATTCACATGTTCACCTACTCCAAACATGTCAAACACCTCTGATGTTTGTTTTTTTTTTGTGCCGGGATCTGAAAGCGAAATTTGATGAAATTACCCTCTGGCTATTTAACATAGCCATGGGAAATGGCCAATTTATAGATGATGTTCCCATTAAAACCTCCATTTATGAGGGATCTTCAATAGGGGTGCACAAATATGATCAACATGTTCCAGAAGAAGGGAATGCAGCGGACCCAGGTGGTTGTCTTGAGGCTTCCACGTAGGAAAAAGCCATAAACGTGTAGAGTAAAAAATTGCTCCCCAACAAATACTTCTATAAATGAGTTCGCGCTTGCAAGGTCTTTTTACTGCTTTACTTGAACATCCAGCTAGTCAACTCCTCTTGTTGCATAGCTCCATGCTCCATTCTAGGTGAAAAAAGTCCCATTCCTCCCGGACACGAAATTATCATCCCAAAGTCCCATGTTGGAGATGCAACTGGACTATCATCATTTCAACTCATGCCCACAATCCATGAAAAAACAAGCCACAAGCCACATGTTGGCCCCAAGAAAAGGTAGGTTATGTCATGTTATTTCCCAAGAAAATGTTGATATCAACCTATATTTCCCGAGAAATGTCTCAAACAATCACATGAAACATGTGAAGATATCAACATCTATGGTGATACCACATCTAATAGATCTATCTGTGGTGATTCAAATTTACAACAAAAATCGTTCCAAACATCTATTTTTCCCCAACACGAATCAATGGGTGGATGGTGGATGATAACATCTATAAAGTGCTTCAAATCTACGAGATCTGTCCAAACATCCAAAAAAGATCATGGCTCCCATAGGTGGAATCTATTTTCAGTGCTTCCTTTTTTTTCACTCACGATCTGAACCCAAACATCTTCCCCCCAAAAAAATAACATGGGTGGATGGTGGATGATGGATAATGTCAACCCTGGATTAATAAACCCGTAGGTCATTTAATTGGGAAGGTACCATTAAAAAAAGTATCATTCATCATGACGAAATAGGGGGAATACCTCCTAATTTTCATAAACCATGGTTTAGCAAAATCAAGGGTTGACATTAATCACTATTATAATCACTATTATCCCAGAAATAGTTGTAATCACTATTATAATCACTATGATAGTCACTATACAACTATAATCATCATCTTTTTTCCCAAAAAAAATGGGTGGATGGTGGATGATGGATATCATTTAATTGGGAAGGTACCATAAAAAAAGTATCATTCATCATGACTATTGGGGGAATACCCCCCAAAAAAATGCCATTTTCAATGGGAAAATCCACTATAAATGGTCATTTTCAATAGCTTGTTGTCTGTTTACCAGAGGGGTATATCCCAGTATTATCCCATCATTATCCCATTATCATCCCTATAAAACCATATTAAAACCATATTAACCATAGATTATCCATAGATTCTCCAGAGGGTAGGTGGCTCCACCAAACCTCCCCAGCGGCACCTGCTGGGGGGTCTCAGATCCTCCCAGGTGCCGGGGGCGCCCCCCACGAAGGGCGTCACCATGGTGGGTGCCAGCACGGGGTCGTAGGCAGCAGCGGAGTCCCAGAAGCGTTCCGTGGTGAACCAATCTTCACCTCTGGTGGGATGAGTTGGCAGGTTTTTTCCATGACTTTTCCATGGTCTTTGATGGTTTTTGATGGTTTTCCCATGTTTTTTTATGGTTTTTCCATGGTCTTTGATGGTTTTTCCATGGTCTTTGATGGTTTTTCCATGGTCTTTGATGGTTTTTGATGGTTTTCCCATGTTTTTTTATGGTTTTTCCATGGTCTTTGATGTTTTTTCCATGGTCTTTGATGGTTTTTCCATGGTCTTTGATGGTTTTTGATGGTTTCTCCATGGTCTTTGATGGTTTTTCCATGGTCTTTGATGGTTTTTCCATGGTCTTTGATGGTTTTTGATGGTTTTTGATGGTTTTTGATGGTTTATATATATATATATATGTACGTACGTACGTACGTATGTATATATGTATGTACGTACGTAGGTATGTATGTATGTATGGATGAATGGATGGATGTATGTACGTACGTACGTACGTAGGTATGTATGGATGGATGGATGGATGGATGGATGTACGTACGTACGTACGTACGTACGTATGGATGGATGTATGTATGTATGTATGTATGTATGTATGTATGTATGTATGTATGTATGTATGTATGTATGTATGTATGTATGTACTACATATACATATATGCAACTATATATATATATATTATATACCCACATACATATACATACATATATATATATATATACCCTCTGGTAAATTAACATAGACCCTGGCAGTCATCGGGGTTGGAAGACTAGTTTCATCTAGTTTCCATTAAAAATGGGTGATTTTCAGGGTCAACCAGTTAATTTACTGGAGGCTATATCCCAATGTTTGGGATGTTTCACCCACCCCTTACCCTCTGGTAAACTAACATAACTATGGAAAATCACAATTCTTAATGGAAAATCCACTATAAATGGTGATTTTCAATAGCTATGTGGCTATGGATCAATACCTATTAATACCATTTTTAGGGGGATGAACATCCATAAATCCCAGCTATTTTGATGTTCACCAGAGGTACAAGGCTTTGACACACTGCCATGTAACAAATTACCAGAGGGTAGCCCCTTGCGGTCCCAAAACCGCCTGACCAGCGCTGCAAGGCGATCCCGGCGGACCAGGAGATCCGCTGCTCGCGGTCCGAGATGTCGCGCGGCGTCTTCTGAAAGAATCGCAGGCACCTTCGGATGGGGCACCGAAAAGGGGTGAAGAAAAAGACCTGGAGATGGTGGTTGTTGAATAGATCTAAAACTATATCAATATATATATATATGGATATATAATAAATATATATATATATATATTTATCATATATCATATAATTATATATATAACATGGATTCTAAGTGATGATTTGTGAAATCTAACTGATTGTTGTGGAAACTAAATGGTTAGTGTGAATTCTAAGTGGTTATTATTGGTGAACAGTGTAGGGAGGCCCTGTCAAGGCCCTGTCCAGAAGAATCCCCAAGGAATAGCGGGTTGAATCTTACACGGTAACCCGCTTCTATAGTAGATTTAATAGTGGTTTTACTTCCAAAATCTTCCAAACATACCCTATAAATATTCTTAATAGCGCTTTATTTGTAAACAATTACCACTGGAAACATCGTTAAACTTACTATCACGGTTCTTATGGGTCATTTCATTCACCGGAAAATCGGCAATCAGCGGCATTGGAGCAGGCTGGAGAAGACAGAGATTTTGTAATCCCAAAATGGTGTGGGGAAATGGAACCCAAAATCTGGAAGAAAAAGTGGAGAGATGTGGATGTGGGTCAAAACCTTGGTACCTAGTGAGCCCCAAAATAGCTGGGATTTATGGATGTTCATCCCACTAAAAATGGTATTAATAGGTATTGACCCATACCCATGTGAGAGATGTGTTCTTTACTTCAGAAGTTCGGACGGGCAAGCGCGAAGGTACGGACACAAAAAAACTCCATCAAAATCCGCTGCTTTGCTGGTTCGGGCCCAGCAAATGACAAATTTTGCTCATCTATCCTGGCAGACATCCAGTTCTTAGCTCGTTATCAAACGTTCCCCCTGTTTCATGCCAACTTGAAGCCATGTTCACCTCCTTTTAGCACGGTAAGCCGCGTAGAAACATCTACAGTAAACCGCAACAGCACACCTCACGGTGGAAGCAACTTGATATTCCTGACCAATGAAGGCTTGTTCCTCGGATTCAAACATGCTGAGCAGTCAAGTACCGAATGAGGGAAACCCCAGAAACACCAGGTGCAAGGTGGTAGATCTGTCCATACATTCATATATGGGTCCCATGAAAGGTCATTTATCTGGGGATGAAATCTTAGCTATGCCCAATCATTCACGAACTTTCTAAGGCGCCAATCCAGTTGAGATTCACATCTATCTTTTTGAAGAAAAACATTGATGAAAACCTTCTTGGTTTCAAGCCAGATGAACAATATGCGTTTCAGTCCGTTGACAATAAGTTTGGAGTTTGGAACTCCAGCAATAGTTTCCAGTTGTTTCAATCTTTGCTGGAGTGGATACTTGAAAAATTGCCAGCACCAGAAAAATGAGCGTCCAAAAGTCCAAACCCCCAAAGCTAAGAGCCTCAAGGGAGAAATTCACTTTGCCCATGTTGTGCGGTACCCTCTGGTAAACGTTTACATAACTATGGAAAATCACCATGTTTAATGGAAAAACTCACTATTTCAATGGTGGATCTTTCCATAGTTATGTAACAGTCATTACCAGAGGGAGCCCTGTTTGAAGCTGCGGCTCGCTCCCTCTCAAAAAAGAAATGGATCATCCCATGGCTAAAATTTCGACAAAGCGGCTAACACAAAAACGGCTGCTTGTCGAGTGCGGATTTTCATGACTGAAACATAGTTAGTTATAATAGTTATAATAGTTATATCATCCCACTTAGAACTGGGATAGAACTATGGATACCATCTGGTTATGACTAACATAACCATGGAAAATCCCAACCATAAATGGAGGTATGAATGGGAAAATCATCTATAAATGGGCCATTTTCCATGGCTATGTTAAATAACCAGAGGGTATCTGACCATGCTTGTATAATTACATAAAGTAGTGAGCCCAAAAAAATGAAAGCTTGAAAAATTGAATTTATCACATTTGTCGATGGATTTGACAGCTATGCTTGAGCCATTCTCGTATGAAGAATCCCTTGGCTTTCTCAACTCTGAGCACAAGCATCCATGTTCCGCTTTTATGGTTCATCTCACCATTTTTGTTGCTGGTTTTCCACCACTTTTGCCCATCACTTCCCCCATCCACTTGCTGATAACTGTCCAGCTCCATACAGTAACCTAAAACATAGCTATGGAAGCCATGGTGTTTTTCAATAGCTATCTGGCTATCTGGCTGTAACCATCCCAGAAATTCGTAGGTTATCCCATCTATAGATGAACCAACAAGTTCCCTAACATGAACTAACCATGGTTAACCAAACCACAGCCTCACCCTGTGTTGGATGTTCCAGGATGCTCCCCAGTGCTCCAGGCCCAAGCTTCCGGTTCACAGCCGTGAAATTTGAATCCATCGCCCCAGATTTCGTGGGCGCGACTGTTGGGCACAGCGGGACCTCAGATCGTCGCGACGATCCCCCGGCGGACCTCCGTTGCTGAAGTAACAGAAATCCCTCCGAGCTTGGACCATTTCCTCCCAAAATCCATGAAAATCCATGAAACATCATGAACCATCATGAAACTTTGGGGATACTGAGCTGAAAAGTTTGAAACGTTGAGGTGTTTCTTCAATTTAAACCTAAACCCGAGCTTGGAGCTTCATCGTCCTGCAGATACACCCAGTATCTCACCCTATCACCAGCAGATACGAGATACGTACTCCAAAAAAAAATATCAAACTGATGTTGGGAATTCCAAATTTTGGATCATGTTTGTTCTTGATCCTGCAAATCGCCTGCGCATTTTTGCTTTGGAAACTCGTGATTTCGAAAACTCCCAGTTGAGCAATGTTCAAACCCTCGATTGTCCCTTCAAATACTGGTTTGTGAATAGTGAGTCCCAGTTTATGGTCATGTTTAATCATCCCGAATATCAACCAAGGAGGTTGATAACCCCTGAAATCAACATCGACCAATCATCATGTATCAATTACGTCCCCATGCTTTGAATTGTCAACACCCCTAACTAATGACGCTTAAATCAAGATAAAATAACCGAACTCGGGATTGTTGAACCCGTATCCTTGCCAATTGTTGCTCAAAGACCTTGAAAACTCACCAGGGTCAGAGGTCATGTTTTCGATGGTTATCAACCAGCTCCCCCATTTTTTGCCCCTGCTCTTGTTCACCATGGTAACCTTTGCAAGGCCGGACAGCTGTAAATCGTGGCCAAATCACCATGTTCCATGTTTCGCAAAATCAACTCCTCGACCCAACGTCACTCAAAAAAACTGAGTCCCATATCCCATTGTTTTCCCACGTCGCTCCTTTTTCACATCATGGATTCGCCATGTTTTACCCACATCCGAGGCACAGAGAGCCGTCCAAACGCTCGTGACGTTGTGGTCGAAGGCGTTGACGTCGCCATCCACCAAGGCATTGTCGCTGCCGATGGCAAAGGCTTGGCCCTGCAACGGGAAGGTGCACAGCACGTCCTGGCGTGCTGGAAGGGCAACCAGTGCCCAAAAAAACGGCACAAGGGATGTGCAAAGGGGTGACCAGCAAAAAATGATCAAACATGTGGTTTAACATGGTTCTTATTTTACTGAGAAAAATGAGAATTGATGGTTTAATATTCATTGGCTCAGCTTACTTATTCCAATCTATCACTAAGGTAACTATGGGGTTTGGATGTTTATGGATGTCATGGGGGGTATAGACCAACAAACATAACTGGGGCCACCTAGCAGTGGGTTCGGAGAGTGGGCCATGGCGAATGCATGCGACTCCCTTAGGGTTGTAACCTGAGATATGCAGAAAGAAAAGTGCTAATTTACTGGTCTTCCCAATTTTGGGAAAAAAAACAAGGCATCAGCTTTCCAAAACAGTTTTTAGCAGAGTTTAGCAAGAAAATATAGGCTACTTAACCCCTGTAAACAAGGACTTGCCAAATCAAAATGTGGTTTTAAGATGTTTCAAGCAACAAACAATATGAGTTCTACAACAAGAAAAAAAATCGCCCTTGGGCGCATGGACTTCATGGCTCAGCTCATGAGAACCCCCAGAAACAAGCCGCCCCTCTCAAGCCGAAAGCCCAGACCCACCATTTACCCTCTGGTAAACCACAGTTTGCTATTGAAAATGGCCATTGAAATAGTTGATTTACCCGTTAAAAATGGTGGTTTTCCATAGCTATGTTAGTTTACCAGAGAGTACATCTTCTGTCCATTGTGCCCGGAAAAATCATCGATTTTGTCAAGAAATCCAACTCTCGTTTAAACACCGCTTAAAACCCAGTTGATGAGACATCACTACGTGCCTCTTTAAAATTGTGGGGCCGTTATGCTTCAAAACGACCCGATTTACCTATGAAAACTGGTGATGTTAGCAAATCATTTAATGACCGGAAGGTACAGCCAATCAATTTCTGGGTGTTCAATGGTTTTCGGACCCACAGACTCAGCAGCCTCAAAAAAGTGTAGTTCGGACAAACCTCAGTGACACTTCATGGGGATTTTGAAGACGACCTGGGGAACGTTGGAACAGCAACGTTCATTGACTTCCAAAGCAAGTAGCCGGTCAAAAACAATGATGCCTTTGCAAAGAATAGAATACAGTAAATATAATTTATACGAATACAACTAGTGATTGTTAAGAATGGTGATGATTATGGATCATTGTAACAAGCATGGCTGCAAAACGTAGCCAGGCAGTGCCAGCAGTGCCAGGCAGCCCAGCATCCTGAAACCCATCGACTTTTGAGGGTCAATAGTTTGAGATCCAGCCATTGAAGCACCAAGCAACGGTATTATCATTTATGACAATATGCATATTATTATATACATATACATGTACATGTACATGTACATGGACATGTACATATACATATACATATATACATATATATATATACATATACATATATACATATACATATACATATACATATACATATACAATCATATACATGTACATATACTATATACAGTAGATATACATATACATATACACATACATATGCATATACATATGCATATACATATGCACATACATATACATATACATGTACATGTACATGGACATGTACATATACATATACATATACAAATACATATACATATACCTATACCTATACCTATACATATACATCTACAGATACATCTACATATACATATAGATATAAGCCAGTGCCATGGCATTTGGGTGTGTCATTTGTAAATGGGTTTTTCATTTGGGTTGTCCCATGTTAACAGTATGATCTTATGGGTAAGTAATTGTGATGTTTCAAATTTGGGTTGTCCATTCTAATATGATGCTCTTATGGGTTTATGGTTTCATGGATCTAAGTAACTGTAACGTTTCAAAATGTTGAACTCATGCATTCGTGACATGCACGTCCGTTCTCTCAGACTCAAGGATTTCAGGCGTCCGGTGCCTTCCGACGTCTGGTTTCTGGCGTTTGGTTTCTTAGCAGCGGCTGGGTTCCGGCGCTTCCTGCAATAATGTATATATATATATATATATATATATCAATAAATAAAAAAAATATATATATATACATATATGACCCATTATTGTACAATAGCACTGCCACAAAGGTAGTGTTTGCGCCGCCGCACAGGTGCATGGTTGCGCCGCACAGGTGCATGAAGACATTTTGTCAAGGTATACTATAATTTAAAGCAGTGATGAACAAGGTTTCCTTTAATGTCCTTTGTCTTACTCTATCCTTCAATCTATGCCCTGGAGTCCTGTCCAGTCCATCCTTCAATCCATCCTCGGGAACCCGGTCCAATCCATCCCTCATCCCATCACCTTAGTCTAGTCTAGCCTAGTGCCCTGTATCAATCAAATCCTCTCAGCCCAACCCACTGCATGCACCAACCCATTTGTTTAATCCACTCCAGCCCATCCATCCTGCAACCCAGCCCCCATGATGCATCCCCCTTCCGCTATCAGTTGGAAAAAAAACATTCATGTCAATCCATCCCCCTCCGTGTTCTGTCCAGGTCCCTCCAAGTCAATATAACCCAGTGCGTCCATGGGTCAACCCCCCAAACCGTTTATAAACCCATACCTTCAGTCAGTTCCAGCCCTTCCTCAACTTAAACCTCCGAACCCATCCTGGTTTGAGTATGAACGTAAAGACTTTATCCATCCCAGCCCTCTCAGAATTCCTCCAATCCAAAACTACCCCTGCAACCTATCCATGCCAGTCCACCGTCTAACCATTAACCTATCCAACATGCGAAACCCATCTGGTCAACCCAATGTAATGTTATCATCCGTTCATACGTTCCCCTAAACAACTCCAGTCTATCTATCTTGCCCGGCCCTCTGTACCCATTCTTTGACATAACAACACTTTGCTCAATTTATGCCAGTCATGCCACATCATTCCACAATCTGATCGTTTCTACCATTTCACTATTGTTGCCAACCCGTCCCTGCCCCTTTTCCTTCTATCTCCCAGACCACAGCAACCCTTGTGTCTGTCCATACCAGTCCATCCATTAAGTCCTATCATCAACCTGGAGCCACACTTTCTCTAATCACAAGTCCATCCATCAGCCAAACATCCTCCAGCCCTCCGTTTCATGCATGTCCCCATCTTGTTCATAATGTTTTGATTCCAAAGACACCTGTGTCAAATGTGTTCTGTCATCCCAGCCCATCCATAAATCTATCCAAGTCTTCTCCGTCCTGTCTAGCCCCTTCATCCACCCATTTACTTCCTCGATTCCAACCTGTCTCTACTCCCCTACTCTCAGTCCAAGTCCATGTCGCTTCATACACCAGCTCTTGAAGGTTAGTTTCCACTGAATCCCGCCCCCTGCAAACCCATGTTCATCACTGCTAGCGGCTTTGAATATTACCAGAAAGAAATGTTACCTTACATTTTAAGTCACTGAAACTATTGTTTGTGAAATAATGTATTGTGCAAGAATATTGTTTCAAACTTACAATTATAATGATGGATCTTTCTCAGACTCCTTCTACGCCACCGGACTGAACCATGAAAATAACGTTTTGGAAAATAACACTGTAACTGTCCCTCATTCTAACTGTTGCCCCCTGCCTTATGAAAGGATTATGTTTGGATGATGCTGTTTGCTTATAAGTGGGTGGTATTTTGGACGATGTTTGGGATGATGAAGTGGATGAAACATTAGAATATATTTGAATGATGATGTTTGCATATAAGTGGAGAATGTTTGGATGATTGTGTTTGTTTATTGTGATTGTTTTTTCAGGTGGATAATGTTAGCATATGGATGATGTTTGGGATGATAAAGTGGAAGTGAACTGCAAAAAACATGGGTTTAAAACAAACATTTAAAAACAAACAATTTTTGAACTGACGTTGAAAGGAAAATGAACTATATGAAATAAACGGACTTGACGAGAAGCATAATATCAAATTTTCAATGGTTTCGTCCAATGGTTTTCAATGATTTCATTGGTTTCTTTGATTTTAAATCGATTTTCAAAGGAAATTAATGAAAATCCATCAAATGATTCTTAATCGATTTTTTAAAAGGATTATAACGAATGTTCACAGGAAAATTGTGAAAATCCATTGGTGTAAGGGTAGATAGGATAATTCTTTTTCAACCGCCCCAATGGCCCAAGAGGCCCCGCGATAGCCCTCGCATTTTTTTTACTTTTTCGGATTTTCAGACATGTTTTTGAATTTTTCCTAAATATTCACAATTTGAAAATTTTGAACTCGGGGCGACGTCCCTGGAAAAAAACGAAAAATCTGAAACCGAAAAATTTCGTTGCGATTTTGTTATTTCCAGTTGGGGGGTTGGGGTCTCGGCGGGTCTCAGTGGGATATATTTGAACTTCGTCCAGTGGTTTTCATTGATTTTCAATCGATGTTTGAAGAAAAATTGTGAAAACTCATTGTTTTTTCATTTACTCTTAAAGGAAAATATTGAAAATCCATGGGGGCTCATTGATTTCAAATCGCTTCTTCAAGCAACACGGTGAAAGTCTGTTTTTTTTCATGGATCTTTAGTCAATTTTGCCTTAGCCAGTTTTCGAAATCATGCTATGTTTTGGGTCAGAAGTATCGAAACCCAATGCCATTTGCTAACTTCCTGTCCGGTGGTATAGTAGTTACTAAGGAAAAAGTAGCGGCGAAGATGACAGCAATTAAGTATATAGGTATATGTACATAAATATAAATTCGTGGGTTCAGTAAAGACAATCAGGCACTGTAAAGTGTCATTGTATGAAAACGATCAAATCATACTTTGACAAATGCATGAATACATAAATATAGAAAATATATGTAAGGCCCTTAGACTACACAAAACCAGTGCCTGGATTCCGGCATTGGGTTTCCGGCACAGCAAGTGTGAGGCCTCCGGCATTTGACTAAGGGCTAAGGTGGACATATAATGACATGTATATATATATATATATACATGATCGCTGGGCGACTTCGAACTGGTGATGGAGACCTCCATCGATCCTGGAATCTCGGCAACCCGGTTCCTGCATTGAGGAGCCCCTGTGTTGATAGATGTAGACATACATGTATCTGTATATACATATGTGATATGTGTTTTCATTCGCAGATGCATATACACATATATACAGTATTTAAATAGATCGTTTTCTGTATTCCAGGTATGCTTCTTAGACTACACAAGCGTCTGGTCTCCGGCACTTGACTAGGGAATAATTAACATTTTGACATATCTATCTATCTATCTATCTATCTATCTATCTATCTATCTATCTATCTATCTATCTATCTATATACATATGTGGTATGTGTTTTGATTCACATATACAAATACTATCAAATATTCATTTATACTGTATATAGATATGTTGACTTATTTATTTATCCCGCTATGGTTCTTAGACTGCACAAGCGTTTTGTCTCCGGCACTTGACTAAGGACTTTTTTAAATGATATTATCTATCTTTAAAGCAAATATATATATATATATGTCCTTCGTTATTTATGTATACGTATATATGTAATATGTGGTTTTATTCATATATACTGATACTGATATATAAATGCTGTGTATATATATATATATTCATTTATCTATTTATGTGTTCCTGGTATGGTTCTTAGGCTACACAAGTGCCTGGCCTCCGGCACTTGACTAAGGAATAATTCATATTTTGACATATTTCTCTTTGTATACATCTATCTGTCTATAAACAAATATATGTTCCTTTGATACAATTTTCACACATACAGATACTCATATATACTGTAAATATATATATATATATATTTATTTATTTATTTATGTGTTCCTGGTATGGTATGGTTCTTAGACTATGCAAGTGCCTGGCCTCCGGCACTTGACTCAGATTAAGACCGTTTTTTTCAGTGCCTGGCTTCCGGCACTGCAAGATTTGACTAAGGGCTAAGGTTGGTACCACTCATACGCATCCTCCATCTGTCACACCTTGTCATTCAACCATCCAATCCTTTATCTGCCAATCACATTTCCA